TGAAGCATTTTGATTTTCCAAAGTCAATATGTTGAGTGCTGTTCATTTTGAAACATTTTCCATTCTCATTTTATCCCCCCTAATTAATTTTTTTCTCATCTTATCCCCCATTATTAACTGTTGATTTGTAAAACATTTTCCTCAAAACAAAAGGGTAATATATACTTCTTCCTTACCACAATTGTTAACTAAAAAATGGAGAAGAAGAAGAAAAAAAAAATCAAAATCGATTACTCCGCACACTATGGAGCATTGCGGAGCAATACGGAGACTTGCTCTCCGCACAGGTTTGGAGAGTTTGGACCACTCCAAACAGTTTGGAGAGTTTCCTCCAAACTCTCAGGAGAGTTATTATGGCCTGTTTGAGACACATTAATTTTTTCATTCTCATTCTTCTACTCATTCTCAACCACACATTTTTCAATAAAATAATATTTTCGATCACATCAATAATTTTTCCTTCTTTTTCAACCACATATTCCCCGTCACATTAACAGTATATATATATATATATATATTTTTATCCTTCCTACTATACTATATTATATCCCCGTTGATAAATAATGTTCAACGACTCATTATTTCACTTGCTTTTTATTTATATTTTGTTTTTAATTCTTTACTTAATTAAACACACAATCATTAAAAAAAATTTACCATAAAAAATAATTTCGAAAGAATTCACTCACTGTCTACCTAATTTCACGTTGCCAAAATATAATATTCACTATTTTCATTCTAAATACAAGATTAAACTAAATTTAAACTACATAACGTACATGTTTAGATATAAAAAAGAAATAAAAAAAAAAATTATCATCTACCAGTCTAATATATATATTACCGCTATACATAATTTAAAAAATACTACTTTTCCAATTTATATATATGACATCACACATTTTATTTAAGTACATATTTTGACATAAATAAATAAAACAATAACAATCACATTCATTGTAACATAATTATAAAAAAAAATTCTAATTTATTTTATAGTGTATATATTTAGACAAAAATATATTACCTAAACAATTCAAACTTCAATGCATATTAGTTAAATTAATTATGTAGATTATATTATAGATCATAAGCAAGTAAAGAGAAGGAAAATTTTACTTCAAATGCAATTGATAAAATAATATGTTAAAGTTCATTTATAAAGTTTTTTTTTTATAAATACAATTGATAAAAATATGTATTTGTAAATTTATTTAATATTGATTTTAAATATGTTGTACACTTTTAAAATATACAACATATAAATAATTTTGTTTTACTATATTATTCTTCGTATCCAAAAGAAAAAAAAATTAAAATTAAAATAAATTTTTTTACGTATAGTGCGGAGCAAATGCTCCGTAGAGAATGCTCTGCACTGTACGGAGCAATGCGAAGCATTTGCTTCGCACAGTTCACTCCCAACTGAAATTTTTTTTAATACTTTATTTATTATAACCTTACCTTTTTTTAAAAAATATACACTTTATTTATTATAACATTATCTCCTCCACCACCACACAATCATATCCTTATTTTCATTTCTATCATTCACCTCCATCACTTTTGCACTGTTCATAAATATCTCATTCTCACGCCACAATTGTTGACTGAAGGAACTGTTGCATAAATATCTCATCTATAAAATTGTTTTTTGTTCTCTCTCATCACTTTCTCCTTTCTCCACCATCAAAGAAATCCCAGTAACATTTTTACACCGGAGAAGAAAACTGTACCTATGTAAGTCTTTTTCGTCTAAGATTTGATTATTTCTTTTTCAACCCTTGTTTGGTACACATTAAAATTTTCATTCTCATTTTTCTACTCATTTTTAACCACACATTTTTCAATAAAATAATATTTTTCATCACATCAATAATTTTTCCTTCTTTTTCAACCACACATTCTCTATCAATCTACTATTCCAGAATACATTTTTTGAAAATAATGTTGCTCAAACACATCCTCGGTTAGAAAACTGAACTAGGTTTGTTGTGTTCTTTTTTATTAGCTCAACCTTCCGGTATCAGCATCCTCTAAAAGCGGATGGACAAAAAAGGTATGTTTGATGCGAATTTAGGGGTTGAAGTTTTTAGCTATCCTAGATTGATGTTGTTGAAAAATGGGGATTGTTGATGTTTGTCTTGTTTGCTTTTCTCAACTAGGGCTCATCAAAGTTGCAGAAAATACCAGTGGTGATTATGTCGTCAAAGAATTTTTTTTCTCATATTGATAGGTATATTCTCAATCTCGTTACCCATATATGGAGTATTTCATTTGTTACATTAGCGTACAGGCCAGAAGTTTTAACATAGGTTCATAATTTGTTGGTTTTGATATAAAATTCTGAATAACAAGATTCATTTGTTACTGAAATGAATGTTAGAAAATTTGTAGAAGATTGTGATGGTTATGCAGGTACAATTATTTGGAGTTCTCGGTTACTAAGCTGCTGAGAAATATGAAGAGGACTTTTTGGGTTGCAGCCGAGTTTCTGAACGTGTGAGGCTGCTGCAAGGACCTGTGTTGCTGTTGAGATGATGTTTATCAACATGCTAGAACAACACAAGACTGATTCATTAGTGATGGATGGGAATTGTGTATACGCTGATTTATGTAATTGAAATAAAGCTATAATTTGTAAATCGTATATTTGTATTGAATTGCTGAATGTAAGACAATTATTTATGAAATGAAAAACTGACCACGGAATTAAAAGAACAATCTGAAGGCTTTTGAGAGGCTCGAGCTCTCCTAATTTAATCAACCCACTACTCACTCAATAATTCCCCTAATACACCCTACCTCTTTACAAAAATAAAAATTCATGAAGTAAAGACTCCGCACACTGCGGAGTATTACTCCATAATGTTTGGAGTAAAAAAGGTCCGCACACCACAAAGCATTTGCTCAGCACAATACTATTTTCCAAGACCTGGGGCGAAAAATACGACTTCTTCCACCCTATGGAGCCTATGGCTTCTACTACAAAATCGACCTCCATACCGCCGCATAAACCACAGAACCCAGAACAAAGAAAGAAGCATAACCCATAACAAAGAAAAGGGCCCCCCG